AAAAGAAACTGCGAAAATAATAGAAACTGCGAATAAAATAGTAGCGAAAACACATGAGTTCTAAATGTTAATTTCAGTGGCAGTAAAGAAGCCGTCCATCAAAATAATAATTATCACAAAACTTATTGGGATGGTTTGATGGTGACATGCCAACACCACCGGTACACATTTCATGGTGACTGTTATTGGAAGTAATTTATGTGTGGACAAAACTAAATTGTTGGAATATCCGCAGTTATATGACATGTGTATGCGATGTGTACGGCGGCCAGGAGACATATTTCCATCATAATAATTATCAAACAAGACACAATGCCTTAGCTTGTCCATCGTTTTGTAGAAACAACGTGCGAATGAAAGATCCAGTTATGAGTGCCTGTGTGGCAATAGCAACTGGCATTTGGCCAGGTTAAAATGATGGCCTACCTCAACGGATGTCGGACGCAGTGACATGGATGATGGCCTGAGAGACAGCATCTATTTATTGCTAACTCTTCCACTGCTATGCGGTGTGTAATGATGACTGCTGCAGTCTTGTTATTCTTTTGGCCGGCTTAGTCAGATATTGTTTTTTTTTACAGATTTTTACTCTTAACTCGAATTTGTCTTTCTAATAATTGTTTTTATTTTTCATTTCTTATTCGCCATAGAAAATAAAAGCATTTGAAATTGTTAACGCCGTTTGATGATGTCCATTTGTGCATAACTTCCATACTGACCTAGAAATTTTTTGAATTTAACGTGAACCGATCAACGAATGAAACAAGCAAGCGATAATAGAAAGAAACAAATGCAGTGCAGTGGAAATAACGCAGTACAAGCTGAATGAGTGTGTTGTCATTGTGGTGATTTTTATTTCGCAATGTGTGTGTGTGCCTTTAATCTTTTTTATACCCTCCACCATATTATGAAGGGTATATGAACTTTTTCATTTCGTTTGTAACTCCTGTCAGATCCAACAAAGTATATATAGTCTTTATTAGTGTTGTTGCAAAATAGCCAGGCTTAATCCCATTATTGGTGTTTTTATAAAAAAAAACAAGTAAAAAAGCTGTAAGTTCGGCCGGGTCGAACTTTTAACACCCTCCACCATTTGGTAGGAATTTGGCAATTTCCAAAAAAAAAAAATAAATAAAATAAAATCCGTTAAAAATTCCGTTAAAATCTTAAAAATTCCGAATGCCTATACGACGACGTGGACCTGCATAGGCAACTTTTGTCATAAGTTATTACACTATTTAAATGCGAAACTTGAAGAAAAATATGTTTACAATCTAGCTAATATCATTAAAATACCGAATATAGGGGGTACCGTTATATGGGGGCTATATGAAGACGTGGAGCTGCACAGACAATTTTCTGGCATGGCAAGTATCCATTTCGAACTTCACACGGGAAATTTGAAACAATCCAGGTAAATAATGTCGCTAAAATCATCAAAATATCGAATATCGGGAGGCACGGTATATTGGGGCTATACGAAGACGTGGACCTACATGGCCCATTTTCTGTTTTATGCTGCAGTATCTATTACGAACTTCAAATACCAAATTTTGAACGATTCCGTTAAATAATGTCGCTAAAATCATCAAAATACAGAATATCGGGGGTACCGTTATATGGGGGCTATACGATGACGTGGACCTGCACAGATAATTTTCTGTCTTAGGCTGTGGTATCCATTGCGAACTTCAAATGCCAAATTTGAAACAAGTCCGGTGAATAATGTCGCTAAAATCATCAAAATATCGAATATCGGGAGGTACCGTTATATGGGGGCTATATAATAACTTGGACCTACATAGCCCATTTACGAACTTAACCTGCCTACTGGCAAAATATACATGTGTGCAAAATTTTAGCCTTCTATCTCAATTTATTCGAAATATAGCGTGATTACAACAGACGGACAGACAGACAGACAGACGGACATGGCTACATCGTCTTAGAATTTTACGCTGATCAAGAATATATATGGTTTGTTGGGTCTGACATGAGTATTTCGAGGAGTTACAAACGGAATGACAAAATTAATATACCCTCCATAGTATGGTGGAGGGTATAAAAACCGCGTTTGTTTATTAGTGAAGAAAGATGGTAATGTTTAACAGTGCTTGAAATCTGAGATTTGGTATTTGGGTCGGTGTTCATGTGTAGCCTGGTTATGGGGAGGTGGTTTTGGATATGTGTACTACATATAAATGTTCGAAAAGTACTAAATTTGGTATTTGGTGAAGGTATAGTGCTGAAATCCTGAAATTTAATATTGATTTTTTTTTTTTTGGTATCCAGAATTGAGATTTGGAGGTGCTTTTGGAAATATGCACTATAATTGTACAAAAAATACTAAATTGTACTCAATTTGGACCCACGATGGAGGGATGTAGATTGTTTTGGATATGCCTACTAAATTATAGTAAATTTGGTATTGGGTAAAGTGATAGTGATAAAGTTTCGAAATTTTATATTTAGATTACTGGTGGTATCTACGTTTAAAATTTGGTGGCAGATTGGGATGGATTTCTAAAATTTTTGAGGTATCTGGAGTTGAAACATGGAGTAGAATTTTAGACAATTCCGTCGAAAAATGCGGCTAAAATCATCGAAATACCGAATATCTGGGGGTACGGTTATATGGGGGGTATACGATATCGTGGACCTATATAGACAATTCTCTTTCAGGGAGTAAAGTGCCTACAAAGAACTCCTCGTGTGGATTTTCAGACTATTTCATTAGAAAATGTGGCTAAAATCATCCAAATACCGAATATCGGGGGGTACCGTTATATGGGGGCTATACGATATCGTGGAGTGATATAGCCCATCTTCGAACTTGACCTGACTGCAGACAAAAGAGAGATCTGTACAAAATTTTAGCTTTATATCTTTATTCGTTTAGCCTGTAGCGTGATTACAACAGACGGACAGACGGACGGACAGGGCTAAATCGTCTTAGAATTTTACGCTGATCAAGAATATATTTACTTTGTTGGGTCTAAAATGATTATTTCGATGAGTTACAAACGGAATGACGAACTTAATATACCCTCCATAGTATGTATGGTGGAGGGTATAAAAAATGTCGAAAATAGCATCAAATTTCAGAATAAGTTTAGATTTGTTCGAATTGGTCACCTTTGACACGAATTATGGCCTTGGAATAATGGCCAATGAAACCATCACAGGCTTCCCGAATCTTGCTCTGCGGTATTTTGGCCCATTTCCGGCGAAGCGCTTGCCTGAGGTGATCGACACTTTGGCATTTTTTAGTGCCAACCTTGCTTTCCAAAATACTCCAGACACAATAGTCCAGCGGATTAGTATCCGGAGATTTTGGTGGCCATTGTGCGCCGGAAATGAAGCGAGGAACCTAATTTTGTAACCATTATTGGGGGAGGGGGGGGGCGGTGGCGCGTGCTGAGTGCTGAGTGCGATGGTGCTGAGTCCTGTTGGAATGTCCAAGGTCTGCGGCCGAAATGTTTGCGTGCCCAAGGCGTTAATACACCCTCCATAATATTTTCACGATAATATTCAGCATTTATTCTGATGCCACGGTCGATTAATACGAGCAGAGGGCGGACGTCGGCTGTTATGACGGCCTACACCATCACCATGGCCGGCGCTTGAGTTCTGGTGGCAAACCGAAGGTGCACATTTGCAGACGTCTTTGGAAAGTAAACTCAATCATTTCGTTTGCTTTTAAACTGTTGTACAACGAATCTTTTCTCATCGGAAAAAAAACAAATCGGACAATATTTGCCGAATGGAATATTGCGAAATGTTCAGCCATGCCCATTTTTCGGCCACAGCGATGCGGGTTTCGATCAAGTTGCTTCTTTTCTTTATTTTTGGAACCATTTCTGCTGATGTAGCTGTTTTCTTCTGCCCACTTCCTTGACGTCGGGCTACGCTACCAGTATCACGGTAACGAGCGATGGTACGAGACACAAAAGATCTATTCACATTTAGATTTTGGAGTGCTCTAACGATAGCCACTTGTGTTTTTCCAGCCAAATATAAAGAAATCACACTATCCCGCTTGAGATCCTTCACGAATAACTTTTTTTCTGGAAAATTCTCATCAATATGCTTTTGTACGCTTATAAACAATATAATGAGCTATCACTGGAATAATTTTAACAGCTGTCGGACGAGTGGCTTAAAAATGACAGCAGTCTGAAGTTGGTTGCAGTTTTTTTCATCTCACCCTGTATATATTTGGTGCACAATAAACCTAATATCGTATAAAGATATATATGGGAGCTATATCCTAATTTGAACCGATCTCGATAAAATTCGACAGAATATTTTTCGAGCAGTATCTGATGTCCGGTACCAAATATTATTCTTCTGGAGTGCATATTACGCTTGTGAGGGACTTGAAACCCCAAATTGGATGAAATATATATATATATATATATATATATATATATATATATATATATATATATATATATATATATATATATATATATATATATATATATGTATATATATAACTTTGATTTACTTGTTTCTAGACTGAATTCGAAGCGATGCAAAATACAGGTCATCTCGACTTATATTAGCCATTTTGTGCACAATTAACCCGAAATCGGTTGAAAATATATGGGAGCTATATCTAAATCTGATCCGATTTTCGATTTGTATATCTCAAAACCAATGTATCTTACATGAAAAACAATTCCTCTCGGATTTCCCTATCCGCGAGCACACGGCATTGACAACACTGTCCAATGTTTACTGCACGATGCTGCACATACTCTATGCACATTTTTATTGGCTTTGTTGTTTACGTCTGCATTCATCCCAACATTCACCTATTACACATGGATCAAATGAAGACAGCCGGCTGGCTAGCTGATGAATGCATCTGAGTGGAAACTAAGACTTGGCTAGCCTTAGCATCCTCAGATTTTACTTCTGATACATAAAAGCAGTTGCCTAGATAATTTTCTTGTCATTTTATTAGTTCAGCTCCTTGCAATCACATCATTCACATTCACACCACTTTCGATTGTCGTCGGTTTGGAGCGGATAGAAGAAAAGTGAAAAGTTGTCAGGAAGCAAAACAGTGAATTAAAAAAAAGAAAACAAAAGTAAACCAATCAAAATGTCCTGCAATATAATTGTGGTTGTTAGTTTTGTCTATATCTTCAGCACCAAAACCCTTATTGTAGCGGCCACAAATTCAACTACCAATTCTTATAATTCTCGTCCGCGTTCTCTGCTAACAAAAAGTGATGCATATGTTGCGCAAAATCAAAAACAGTGTCTCCAAACTCGCAGTATAGTGTCGTGCATTAAATATAAAGCTTCGAAAATTGTTTGGAAATTGGCAACAAATAGTTTGGGATATTTTCCACGGCAAAATAGTCGTGAAATGGCCGAGGATAAACGTAGAATCAATTTTGTTCAATTGGATGAACCATCGGATATTAGTTTTTTCGGTGATGTCAGAAGTTTTGAAGGTATGTGTGAAAATCGTTTAGCTGCGAGGAACTGCATACAGACGGCAGGAAGATATATCTTTAAATTTACAAAAAAGGAAAAAATAGTAAAAAAGCTGTATGTTCGGCCGGGCCGAACTTTGAATACCCTCCACCATTTGGAACGAATTCACAATACTTAAATTGGGGTATGAAATCATTCCTGTAAAGGATAAGATCAGGTATTTAGGTGTTATACTTTGTGAGAAATTCGAATTCATCAGGCATGTGGATTTCATACTTGAACGGGCGAAAAAAGTATATTTTGCATATCAAGGCGTCCTTAGATATAATGGTGGGCTATCAAATGACATCAAATTCCTATTGTATAAACAGGTAATTAGACCCATAATATCCTATGCCTTTCCGATCTGGTCCCCTATTTCGTCGAGTCAGATGGAAAGGCTTATAAAATGGGAAAGGTCCATTTTAAACTATTGCTTAGGGCTGAGACCAACTTTAAGATATGATGGGTCCATTAAAAGCCCATCATATAGAGTCACATATGTAATGGCAGGCATCGAGCGAATTGATCGCTTCCTCATGAGGGGGGCCTTGAACTTTGTACAAGGGGCACAACAACTGGAGAATGGTTTGGTTGAGGATTCTCTGTATTGCCCATACGATACAGAGGCTCTGCGTTTAAAGAAACACTTCCCACCAGGGTCTCTTCCTAAACTACTTGAAGAAGGTCTATTATATAATGAATCAGAAGAATTGTTATTCTACCATAGAAGGTATAATACTTTTTATACCCTACACCACAAGGTGGTCAGGGTATTATGTCTTTGTGCATTTGTTTGTAACAGGCGGAAGGAAACGAGATAGACCCATAGTTCCTTTTGATGATCAGCATAGAATCACATTCTGAGTCGATTTATGCATGTCCGTCAGTCCGTCTGTCCATGTATTTTTGTAAACAAAGTACAGGTCGCATTTATTGCCCGATCCAGATGAAATTTTGCAAAGATCTTTCGTTTGGCCCAAGGACGAACCCTATTGAAATTGGAGATAATCGGTCAAAATTTAGATATAGCTCCCATATATATCTTCGTCCGATTTGCCTTTTATTGTGCACCAAACGTGTAATATCAGTCCGAATTGTATGGAATTTTGCACATACACCCATATTAGGCCTGAAAATATGTATACAGCTCAGAAATACATTTGCTAAATTTTATCGAGATCGGTTCAGATTTGGATATAGCTCTCACATATAACTTCGTCCGATTTACCTTTTATTGTGCACCAAACGTCTAATATTTGTCCAAATGGGATGGAATTTGGAACTTACGACCGAATTGAGCCTAGAAGTTAGTATGTCAAATTTGGTGAAGATCGGTTCAGATATAGCTATAGCTTCCATATATATTATTCATCCGATTTGTTATATTTGTTACCCACAACCGTAATATGCACTCCGTAACAACGATATTCAGGGAAATATATCAAATACAACTCAGAAATATCTTTGCCAAATTTTATCGAGATCGGTTCAGATTTGGATATAGCTCCCATATATATCTTTATCCGATTTTAAATTAATTGTGCACCAAATGGGCAATACAATTCCGAATTTAAAAGATACAAATGCTTCGGCATATTTAGTCCTTTGAACTTTAAATTATAATTATAATCATAGCGTGTATGATTGAATTCTCCCATAAAAACTTTTAATTGTTATGTGGAGCTATACTTAATTAGCAAAGTGGTGTATGGCATCATAAAGTCGGCCCCGCCCGACTTTAAGACTTTCTTTACTGGTTTATCTTAGTTTATAGTAGATAGTAAGTAGTTCATAAGTTAGTTTAGTTTATTTTTTTTTAAATGACCTTGCCTTTTTTCACTTTGATTTTTGGGGTGCCACTGAATTTGAATTGAATTTCTTTTATATAATTTGTATGATTACCGCTTGCAGTAAACTGCAGCGTTTTACTTTATTGTTAAGTAGATAGCGAAAAGCCATATGTTTATTTATCTTTTTATTTAGCAGTAAGTCATGCTGTATAGCTTGTAAGTTTTTAATCAATAAATATGGCCTTAGCCAAAATGAAATGGACTCTTGTTCTATGAAAATATGAAATGAAAAATATTTGCTTTATAAACATTTTCATTTGACATTTCTTTCCTTTATAAAAGTTTTCATTTCACATTTTCATAGAACAAGAATTGATGCCCAGACGTTAAGTCTTATTCGTCTTATTTAAAAGGTTTTGCGGCAATGGGTATTTTCAAAAAAGAATTTTTTGAAGAAGTTTATTGTTTACCTTGTCAAAAAAAAATTCTTCCTTTGCTTTTGTCTTGTTTCACAACACAATACAAACAGCGAATGTCGCTGTGGAATAATTATCGTGTTTAATTTTTGTAGAAAATTTTTGACACATCAATTCAATTGTCATTAATGTTCACTCACGCCAGATGCCATTGAACTTTGTCCATTACACAAGGCCTTTGTATTCTGCATGCTATCCTTTCTGTAGCGTGTGGTACTTAAAGTAAAAAAAATAATAATGTAACCTTGTATTGACAAATAATTTTGCCTTGTAACGGAAATGTCCTTTCTTTGATAAACAATTATTAAATATTAGCATGATAGACAATGTCAGAACATTGACATTTGCGTCGTCTATTCCTTGGGGGACAAATAAATTATAATTAAAATAGCAAAAGTCTGTATAAAATTTAAAAAGGGGCACATAATTTGGCAAATTTTAATGGACTCAAGGCAATGAAAAGGAAGTCCTTTGCTGTTATTATTCTGTGGGCAAAATTGGTTAATTAAAAAAACCCTAACTCTCTCTCTCTCTCTTAATTTAACTACTGTCATAATAGACACCAAACTAAATTTTATAAAATGTTATTGTTAAATATATTCGAATTTTAAATTAGTTAGTAAAACTAAAATCTTTGTGTTTATCTTTTCAGATGATAATGAAATGAATGCCATTGTCAAATTTGTGAAACGAGCCATTGAATATTTTGGCCAAAACCATGCAATCCAATTGACCATAACCAGTGACAGTGGAGCGCGCATAATTTCCAGTGATATGGGTAAGGCAATGAATTTTGTTGGGCTTTTCTTTTAGATATTAACACAATATAAACCAGTAAGGAATGATCAAAAATCAGGTGGAACCGACTAAATTATACGATGTGTATTTAGTAGAGCTCCTGTAACAAAGAAAGTTTATATTGAGAATTTATGTGAAGTAGATCATAGCAACTATGAACCTCATTTGAATGCGTATTATGGCTTTAGACTAGTCACAATTTGGGAACTATATCCAACTCGGAATCGATTTTCAACAAATTTGATGGAGGCTTTTGTACCTCTAGTTTCAAATAATATTAAAAAATATATATTGAAGCAATAAATATACCTGACCGAGTTTCACCAAATGGTAAAATTCAGTTGAATATGAAAAAATCTATCCAATTTGGACTGTCATTACATATATGGTGGACAACAACCGGATCGGATGAAGATGTATATCGAAGGTATGTAAAAATCTGAACCGATCTCGATAACATTTGCCAGAGGTATTTTCGAGCTGTATGTAATGTCCGGTATAAAATATTCTTATTGTAGAGTGCATATTACGCATGTGAGGGACTTTAGCACCAAATTGGATGAAACATATATAGGGGAGCTATAGGTATATCTCAACCGATTTTCACCAAAATTTGGAGCACTTGCTCCAGACTGAATTGGGTCGGATGTGCCAAAATTCAGTTCATTTGCGTTGTTATTAGTCACTTGGCGAACAATTAACCCGAACTCGGTTGAAGATACATATACAGGTTGAGAAAAAAAACTGCAACAAAGTCAAAAGCCATAATTTTTACATTTTTTATACCCTACACTACAAGGTGGTCAGGGTAGTATGACTTTGTGCATCTGTTTGTAACATGCAAAAGGAAACGAGATTGACCCATAGTTCCTTTTGATGATCTGCAAAGAATCACTTTCTGAGTCGATTTATGCATGTTCGTCCGTCCGTCTGTCCATGTATTTTTGTAAACAAAGTAAGTTCGCATTTATTGCTCCATCCAGATGAAATTTTGCACAAATCATTTGTTAGGCCCAAGGACGAACCCTATTGAAATTGGAGATACTCGGTCAAAATTTAGATATAGCTCCCATATATACTTTCGTCCGATTTGCATTTTATTGTGCACCAAACGTGTATCGAAATGGGTTCAGGTGTAGCTCCCATATACATTGTCCATCCGATTTGTTACTTTTGTCCTCCGCAGCCGTAATATGCACTCTGTAACAACAATATTTAGGGAAATATATCAAATACAGCTCAGAAATGCATTTTCTAAATTTTATCGAGATTGGTTCAGATTTGGATATAGCTCCCATATATAACTTCGTCCGATTTACCTTTTATTGTGCAGCAAACGTCTAATATTTGTCCAAATGGGATGGAATTTGACACTTACAACCGAATTGAGTCTAGAAGCTAGTATGTCAAATTTGGTGAAGCTCGGTTCAGACATAGCTATAGCTCCCATATATAATGTTCATCCGATTAATATGCAATCCGTAACAACGATATTCAGGGAAATATATCAAATACAGCTCAGAAATATGTTTGCCAAATTTTATCGAGATCGGTTCCGATTTGGATATAGCTCCCATATATATCTTTATCCGATTTCAAATTAATTGTGCACCAAATGGGCAATAAAAGTCCGAATTTAAAAGATACAAATGATTCGGCATATTTAGTCCTTTGAACTTTAAATTATAATTATAATTATCGCGTGTATGATTTAATTCTACCATAAAAACTTTTAATTGTTATGCGGAGCTCTACTAAATTAGCAAAGTGGTGTATCATAAAGTCGGCCCGCTCGAATTTAAGAATTTCTTTACTGGTTTAAATTTTATTGAATGGAAGCAAAAAATGTCGGAAATAGTATCAACGTTTTAGGATAAGTTTAGATTTGTTCGAATTGGTCACTTTTGGCACGAATTATGGTTGTAGGAGAATTTTGTTTTTGTTGCTACTGTATTCTGACCCCCATGGTCAGAATAGTAAAACACTTTAATTTTTTTTTTTATTTAAATTGAGATCTTCATGATCAAAATTTTTATTAAAATATTCTATTCTTTTTCTTCAATAATTATGATCTGCTTCATGCAGATGTACAAAAGGCAACTGAACAATTTTTGCTGCGACCAAACAAAACGAAAACGCAATAGCAGCAGCAGCGAGATGACCGACGGCCGTTGTTAGGTAGCTATGTACATATGTACATACATACATACTCGTATGATCGTCTGTACCTACATAAGGGACCGTTAGGTTTGGTTTCGCGTAAACAAATAATAATAGAAAAGGGAATAGAAAAGAGTTCAACAAACTCTTGAGGAGGAAAATAATTGTATGTAGGGTTTGCAGTGTATTTTTAGTTTGGGGAAAAAAAATCCCAAACATTCTCCCGCGCCAAGAACGACTGTTCTTATGTTGTTAGAATTTTCTCTTCTTTAGGTAGAACTTCATCTGATGGCAGGAGGCATACTTTGGAGATAGGGCGTTTGATGTATTTGCCATTACAATACAGTGTGACAACTCGTACCAAGTCGTCATTACCAGGGTGAAGTTGTTCAACTTTTGCAAGCGGCCATTGACCCGGAATGCTTCGTTCGTGTAGGAGGAGAACTATATCGCCTACTCTGATGTTTCGTTCCATTTTATTCCATTTTGGACGTGATTGAAGGCGACACAAATATTCTCTATTCCAGCGATCCCAAAAGTTTTGCTTGAGGCGTTCGACCAATTTCCATCTACTCAAGCGGTCAATGCTCACAGAAAGCAAGTCTTCTTCGGGAATGCAATTGGTGGCCTCACCAATTAGAAAATGAGCCGGTGTGAGGGCATCGGAGTCAGCGGGGTCTGCTGACAGTGGGCATAAAGGCCTAGAATTCAGGCAACTTTCAATTTGCGCCAAAAGTGTGCTGAGTTCCTCGTAGGTAAGTATGCGGTCTCTCATTATGCGGCGCAGATGATGTTTTGTTGACTTCACTCCTGCTTCCCATAAACCTCCGAAGTGGGGTGAAGCGGGGGGAATGAAGTGCCAGGTAGTGCCTTGATTTGCGAGCGTTTCTACAAGATGCTCGGGCAGTGACGATTTATTACGTTGATAGAGGACTTGAAGTTCCTTGTTGGCACCCACGAAATTTGTTCCACAGTCGGAATAAAGATCGCTGCATAAACCTCTTCGAGAGATAAAGCGCCTGAATGCGGCTAGAAATGAATCGACGTTTAGACTTGTCACTGCTTCCAAGTGTATCGCTTTGGTACACATGCAGATAAAAAGACAGATGTAGCCCTTTGTGGTTGATGCTGTCCTAAGTGACGATGTTTTTATATTAATTGGGCCGGCATAGTCTAGTCCACTATGTTTAAATGCCCTGGTTGGGTGTAGACGCACAGAGGGCAGGTTGCCCATTAGTTGTTGACATATTTGAGCTTTATACTTAAAGCAGACGACACACTGGCGTTGGACACGTTTTGCTATGTTTCTAGCAGAAACAACCCAGTAGGCACGAGACACATAGGACTGCATTAGCTGGAGGCTACCATGAAATGTTTTCATATGTGCTTCTGAAAATAGAAGAAAAGAAAGAGGATTTTGCTTCGATAGCAAAATCGGGTGTTTAGTGTTGTAGGGTATAGATGCATTTGACAATCTACCGCCAACTCGTAGAATGTTCTTTTCATCTAAGAACGGTGATAATTTTGCAATACTGCTTTGGTTAGGAACCCTCATTCCTTGTGTAAGGCAGCGAATTTCTTCTTGAAAACACACGGCCTGTGTTTGTTTTATGAGTAATTGTAATGCTCGTTGTAACTCAGAAGTTTTCAAAAATCCATTCTCTCTGCTTACTTTGGATTTTTGTTTTACGTTGTTATAAAATCGTAGAATATATGACGTCACTCGTATCATAGTTGACAGTTTTGAGTATTTAAGTGTGATTTCGGGATATTGTAGACTTGTTGTTTTTGTGTGGAAAGATACAGCATAATTGTTATTGATTTCTTCACAGTAAACTTCATTGGGGAAAGTTGGCCATGTATCGGAAGTATTTTGGAGCCAAGGTGGGCCTTTCCACCAAAGCGTGTGACGAACTAATTGTTCTGGAAGTAAACCCCTGGACGCGCAGTCAGCTGGGTTTTCCTTTGTGGGAACATACTTCCAATTATTAACGTTCGAAATACGTTGTATTTGTGCTACTCGATTTGCCACGTAGACTTCCAACCGTGTTGAATTATTTTTTAGCCACGCAAGAACGATAGTGCTATCCGTCCAGTATACGATGCTGCTAATGTTGAATTCTACGCTGGCTTTTATTTTAGCAACTAATTTTGCTAGTAGAGTTGCTGCAGTTAATTCCAGACGAGGGATTGTTTCACTTTTCAGGGGAACGACTTTGGTTTTGGCTTGTAGTAAGTTTATTAATATCTCACCGGATTCCGTTATAATTCTGGCATATACGACAGCTGCATATGCTAATCTAGAAGCATCGCTGAAGCCATGTAGTTCAACTGTGGATGTTGGTCGGTAACCAATCCATCGTGGGATTCGAATCTCTTCCAGAGATTTCAGCTTTTCTCTGAAGTGAATCCATTGATGTTGAATTTCTTCTGGCAGAAGGTCATTCCAGTCAAGCTTGAGTTTCCAGAGCTGTTGAAATATAATTTTGGCTGTAATGGTCGTAGCGCTGATCCATCCTAGGGGATCAAACAGCTTAGAGGCATCTGAAAGTAGACTGCTTTTAGTTATAGGATGAGAAAATTTGAAATTTATCGAGAAACAAAATGCATCTTGATTGGTATCCCAATTTATACCAAGTGCTTTGGACATTTTCGGTTTTTGAATCGGAAATAAATTATTTATTTCACGATCTTCCTCAGGAATACGCTCCATTAGTTCAGGGCAATTCGAATTCCATTTCCTTAAATGAAAGCCTCCTGATTTCAATAGATTCGAAAGCTGATTTTGTAGCTGTAAAGCTTCGTGTGGATTGTCCGTCCCAGATATGACGTCATCGACATATGTATCTTCGCGTAGAATTTGACTGGCTTCTGGAAAGCGTGTTTCTTCATCTGCTGCGAGTTGTTGGAGTACCCTTATAGCCAAGTAGGGGGCGGACGTAGTACCATAGGTGACTGTTTGAAGAGTGTAAACACAAATTTTTCCAGTGGCATCTCTCCAGAGAATACATTGGAATGGCTGATGTTCTGGACAGACATTTATTTGCCTAAACATCTTCTCCAAATCGGCAGTAAACCCAATGCAATGTCTTCGCCATCGTATGATGATTGTAGACAAATCATTTTGTAAAGCAGGACCAGCTGATAATTCGTCATTTATCGAAGTTTGTGGTGGTCTCCGATTTCCACCATCAAAAACAACACGAAGTTTAGTTGTTGTACTACTCTCTCTGAGTACACCGTGATGTGGAAAGAAATATGCATTGTGTGGTATTGAGTGAGGATACTCACCAAGCTTAACCATGTGCTGAAGTGTTTCGTATTCCAACATAAACTTTCGGTATTCATCGGCAAATTGCATTTTCTGTTGAAACGATGATTCCAACTGCTTCAATCGTTTCATTGCGTTATAGTCCGTGTGGGTAAATGTAGGTAGCTCTTGACCTTGTAGTAACCTTTTGAATGGAAGGTGGACCGTGTATCGACCAGTTTCATCACGTGAGTGTGTATCAGCAAACAATTTCTCGCAGAGTTCTTCTTCATTAGTTTGCGGTTTTATATCCAAAAGTTCTTCTTGTTCCCAGAACATACGGAGCTGCTCATCTAAAGAGCACACATTTGCTGAAATTCTTGTTGCGATCGTTTGTGACCTTGGGGACCCTGATATCATCCATCCAAACTGTGTTTCTTGCAGTAAGAAACTGTTTTCAAATTTCTTCATACCAGATAGAAGGAGGTCACCATATACATCATTTCCAAGTAGGATATCAATCTTCTGCGGGAAGAGGAAGTCTGGATCTGCAAGGAAGAAATCTGAGAGATCTGGAATACAGAGGGGTGTTATTTTCGTAGGTATGTACGACGTAACGCTCGGAACCACTAAAGCCGTAATAGGTAGTTCAAATTCTTTTTTGTAGTTAGAATGTAGAATGAATCTTGTAGACTTCTTTACTGTTAAAGCTCGATGTCCTCCAATACCAGAAACGTTAATTCGAGTTTTATGTTTTGGAAATGGTAGCACTTGGGAAAGTTCCTCAGAAATGAAGGAAAGTTGAGACCCCTGATCGACCAAAGCTTTCACTTTCAAATTCCGATTTTGAGTTTTTATTATCAGTTGCACAGTGGGCAGCAAAGCAGGATTCAAGTTCCTAGTACTTAGGTTTGTAATGTGCGTACTTACAGTTGCAGTTTCTGGAGTGGATGTATTTTCTGGTGGCTGGAATGTTTGATTTACCGTGGTATTGGCTAATTCCGCAGGGGGCGAACTATTCTTCGAGAACTCATTGTGTAATATGGTATGATGAGATTCACGACAGATGTGACATCTGGTAGTGTGTTTGCAAGCGAATTGCATGTGTCCAGAGTTTAGACAATTTCGGCAGAGACGATGCTGATTTACAAAATTCTTCTTTTCCGTCGAAGGCAAATTTGTAAATCGAAAGCATTTGTATAGCGGATGACGTTTATGGCAGCAGGGGCAGTTGTCGTCATTTACTGTAGAAATAGTGTGAGCTCGTACAAATTTCGTTGGCTTTCTTCGCGTTTCTCTGTTGATAGCGTGTGGCGTGGTGGAGACTGCTTCTTCTTCTATTGACTCCAGAGTACGAAAAGTTGTTTCCAAAAATATTAACATTTCCGCCATTGTTGGAATAGACGTACTCGCTTTTAGTGACTGCTCCCATTCCTTGCGGGTCTGTATGTCCAATTTTTGCGAAATCACGTAGATAAGTATTGAGTTCCAGGTGGACGTATCAATTCCCAAAGTCTTTAATTGAGACAGACAGATTCTCGTAGTATCGAGCAACACCTTTATGCTTTTGAATGTTCCATCGGTGTTTGGAATAGAAAAAAATCGCTTTAAAATCTGCTCTACTAATTTCCGTTCGTTATGGAATCTCTTCTCCAGAGCATCCCATGCCAAATCATAACTCGTTTCTGCAGCAGGATATTCATTTACCATACTCAATGGAGTACCAGTACACGAACTTTTTAAGTAAAAATATTTTTGCACCTTCGTGAGGGAATTATTTTGATGTACGAGCGATTTGAACATATCCCTATATGAAATCCAGTCGATATAATCCCCTGAAAAGGATGGCAAATCAATTTTTGGAAGCCTAGCTCCTGCACAAAAGGATTCGTTCCGGCTTGTGCCAGCGAATGTACTTGCGTGAACGGTTGGAGTCTGTGGAGAATCAAATTCAAAAATTGTATCAAGTAAATTAGTTTTCAATGTAATATACGAGTCATAGCACTTGTAGTAAGTATCACCACTTATGTAAGGCACTTCTTTTTCCGGTATAGATTCCTCACGTAGAATCTCCATGATTTGATCGTGTCCATCTTTGAATGTTTTGAAATTATTCTCCAAATCTTCAAGAATGGTTTGTACATAACCTTTGGAAATTGTATTTTTAGGTTTGGCCTCGAAGGCTCTGGCCACACGTTCGATGTGGTGGAAGATCCTCCTCTGGTCTTCAATAGCTGCTTCGGATGACATGTTGCTTTAAATTTAGCTCGAAATTTGTCAGCAACACGTAGTACAGACTGTACGTTGATGATATGTACCGCAGACAAGACGGCAGTAATTTTGTTTTTTTTTTTTTTTTTTCACAATTTACCGTAGGCAAGACGACAGTAGTTTCTCTTTTTTTGCAATTTACCGTAGGCAAGACGGCAGTAGTTTTGCTTTTTTCACAATATGTGGCATTTGTCAGCACATCGACAAATCCCGGGTTTCGGCACCATTTAAATGTAGGAGAATTTTGTTTTTGTTGCTACTGTATTCTGACCCCCATGGTCAGAATAGTAAAACACTTTAATTTTTTTTTTTATTTAAATTGAGATCTTCATGATCAAAATTTTTATTAAAATATTCTATTCTTTTTCTTCAATAATTATGATCTGCTTCATGCAGATGTACAAAAGGCAACTGAACAATTTTTGCTGCGACCAAACAAAACGAAAACGCAATAGCAGCAGCAGCGAGATGACCGACGGCCGTTGTTAGGTAGCTATGTACATATGTACATACATACATACTCGTATGATCGTCTGTACCTACATAAGGGACCGTTAGGTTTGGTTTCGCGTAAACAAATAATAATAGAAAAGGGAATAGAAAAGAGTTCAACAAACTCTTGAGGAGGAAAATAATTGTATGTAGGGTTTGCAGTGTATTTTTAGTTTGGGGAAAAAAAATCCCAAACAATGGTCTTCAAACTGCCAATGAAACCGTCACACACTACCCGAATATTGCTCCGCTTCGAAAAGTAAAGAAGCAACTTGATCGAAACACGCGTCGCAGTGGCCGAAAAATGGCTCGTGAGTTGAACATATCGGAATATTCCATTCGGCAAATATTAAAAAATTAGCTCGGGGTAAAGCCATTGAAATTCCAAAAAGTGCAAGAACTTACACCGCAACAGAAAGAAAATATACTTAAAAGAGCTAAAGAGTTGCTTCGCTTGGCCAAAAGTGGTGAACGTCCGAATTCAGTTTTCTCCGATGAAAAAACATTCGTTGTCCAGCAGTTTGTAAACAAGGAAAATGAAAGTGTTTACTTGCCAAAGAGGTCTGCTGAAAATGTTCACCTTTTTGTCCGCAGACCTTGGACATGCCAACAGGACTCAGACCATCGCACTCAGCATGCGCCACCCAAGATTGATTACAAAATTAAGTTCCTTGATTCATTCCAGCGCGAAATGGGCACCAAAATCTCCGGATACCAATCCGTTGGACTATTGTGTCTGGAGGATTTTGGAAAACAAGGTTGGCACTAAAAATATCAATGCGCTTCGCCGGGAATGGGCCAAAATACCGCAGAGAAACATTCGGGCAGTGTCTGACGGTTTTATTGGCCGTTTGATAATTCGTGTCAAAGGTGACCAATTCGAACAAATATAAACTTATTCTAAAATGTAATGCTATTTCTGACATTTTTTGATTTCATTCAATAAAATTAAAAAAAATATGTAAATATTTCGGCGTTTGACTTTATTGCAGATTTTTTTATCTCACCCTGTTTACACAACTTAATTTACAATGAAGTAATGTATAAACATTTTCTTAATGAGACATTGTCAAAGGTTACCTAGGAAGGAAGCCTTGCAACAGTAAATTTTTAGTTTTAATTTTAAAGAATATTTTGGGACGTTTTAATTAACTGATGTGTATGTCTGGTTTCCTTGATTCAAAAAAAAAAAAAAATTAATTAATTTTTAAACTCTTAAAATTCCCTATATATCCCAGAATCACGGCGTATTATTAAGAGAAAAGCTAAAAAATGGATGATTCTGCTACCCCTGATTATTTTGATGAAAATAACCCATCTAAAGATGACACTAGTGGGTCTGATACTGGGTGTTTTGGCCTTAAATATTTTGATTGTGGGCGGAGGCGGTTGGCTGATACACTATTTGAAATTTAAAACTTTGTGTAAAATTCATCCGCAATTGGTGCATCATCATTCGCATGCCTATGACTCAGATCCGGGGGGTAAGTTTGTAGTAAACTTGAAATTTTCTGTAAAAATAATTGCCATAATAATTGTCAAATTTACCATTAACAGATTATTCACAATTCTTGGGCAGCACCTTTCCGGGCTCCTCGCATGGCTCGTCGGCCAACACCAATACACATGAGATTCTAAATCCATATTATTATTCAAAAGATTGGAGTACCAGCAAGGCATATCAGGGCTACAATTATTTGGATACGATAAGCAAACGAATACAATAGCTAAAAATATTCTTATATCGTAATTTTAATCGGTATACTCGCAAATACTTTATGAAATTCCTTCGTTACATGACACCAATATTTGGTCAGGATTTATTTTTTGATTTCACCGCCAATTTGTGGTGAACATTGACAGCATCAAACTATTCAAGTTGTATTATTAGTGTGTATTTATTGTTGATTAATATAAGTGAATAAAATATATTGAAGTTAAATAAATTAATTTTCATTATTGTACTTATAATAATTTAATTTATTTACTGGAATTCCAAAAGATTGTCACTAATTTTCCGGGAAGTTAGGTCATATTAAAGGCAATATAAATTGGGTTATGTGCATTAGTAGTAAAAAATATCTATTTGTTTCAAATTAAAGAAATATTTAAAAAAATCGTGAAAGGTTATTATATTGTAAAGTAGGCAGAATTAGGTTATATATGGAAGAAGATACCGTGAAGATGGCCGCAGCTAATTTGCTGGCATACACACGATTTTTTATTGAAATTTTCAATTACCGTTTTGCTTCAGCCTTTATCTATAAAAGGTTAGTGAACTAACTGACTGATCTACAATCAACTCCCAGACGAAACATCTGAAGTTACTTATAGTGACTTGGAGCGTGTGTAATGGCTTGAACGTATGTTAGGAGCGATTGGAGGTCAGCAGCTAACAGCTGATGCATCACCTGGAGTTTGTACGGAAACATCTACAAACCTTGTAAGAAAATTCGCTGCAAAGGCCGTCGACTGATACCCATTTGGGTGCAACTTCCATGACATCCTCGGCTACAGCAGCAATATTCTCCGCAGAGCTGATACTCTGGGGTCTGCCACGCCTGGCAGCATCTTTTGTTGTATCAGTCTCTTCGAGACGAGCGGCTAAACGTCGCAGTGTTTCACCAGTGGGCGTTGGACGGGCAGGAAATCTGCGAAGAAATTCACGTTGTTCCAAAGTCACCGACGGAGTATTGGTCAAATAAATGGTCACCAATATTCCGCGTGTATTTCGTATGTGTTCACTACAATAATGTCAAAGCAGAACTGACATTACTATTGGCATTTTCTGATAGGAGGATTACTTTTGCGCCATATTGTAGTACCATATTTGATACAATTTGGTATTGAGTGAACAGATGTTTTTGAGATCTGAAAATTGGTATTAGCGGTCGCTCTTTATGTGTAGCCTGGACATATGGAAGTGTAGCAGTGGAAATGTATACGATGTGTAATTGTACGACAAGTATTAAATTCGTTTTTAGTTGAAGGAGGAAGGCTGAAGTCTCGAAATTTGATATAAATGCCCATATGTTGATCTGCGGTATTTTGGCCCATTCCCGGTGAAGCTCTTGCTTGAGGTGATCTACACTTTGTTATTTTTTAGAGCCAACCTTGGTTTCCAAAATACTCCAGACTCAATAGTCCAACGGATTGGCATCCGGAGATTTTGGTGACCATTGTGCGCTGGAAATGAAGCGAGGAACCTCATTTTGTAACCATTCTTGGGTGGAGCATGCTGAGTGCGATGTTGCTGAGTCCTGTTTGAATGTCCAAGGTCTGCGGCCAAAAGGTTTGAGTGTCCAAGGCTTTAATACACCCTCCAGAATATTTTCGCGATAATATTCGGCATTTATTATGATGCCACGGTCGATTAATACAAGCCGAGAGCGACCATCAGCTGTTATGGCGTCACCATGGCCGACGCTAGAGTTCTAGTAGCCAACCGAATATGCACATTTTCTGCTGACCTCTTTGGCAAGTAAACACGATCATTTTGTTTGTTTACAAACTGCTGGACAACGAATGTTTTCTTATCGGAAAAAACCAAATTCGGCAGTTCACAACTTTCGACCAAGCGAAGCAACTCTTTAGCTCTTTTGAGTCTATTTTCTTTCTGTTGCGGTGTAAGTTCGTGCATTTTTGGAATTTTAATAGTTTTACCCCGAACTCACTTTTCAATATTTGCCGAATGGAATATTGCGATATGTTAAGCTCACGAGCCATTTTCCGGACACTGCGACGCAGGTTTCGATCAAGGCGCTTCTTTACTTTTCGAACTATTTCTGCTGTTTTTTTCCGTCCACTTCCTTGACGTTGGGTAACGAGCGATGGTACGAGACACAAAAGATTTCACATTTAAATGCTGGATTGCTCTAACGATAGCCACTTGAGGTTTCCCAACCAAATATAAATAAATCACACTATCACGCTTGAATTCCATCACGAATAGTTTTTTTCTGGAAAATTCTCACCAATTTTTTTTGCACGTTTGGAATAATTTTAACAGCTGTCGGACGAGTGGCTTAGAAATGACAGCAGTCTGAAGTTGGTTGCAGTTTTCTTGATCTCACCCTCTTAATAATGTTCAATAAATGTTTCTATCTCTCTGAACCCTGGAATTAATTTCTAGGGGATAAAAAAATTAGGAAATAGAATATTGTTTAATAACAAATTATTTTTATTTAACACATGATTTATTTTCCCTTATATAGACACAAGTTTGTCCATCTTTGGCTTGGATTTATATATTTACTGGTTTATTATTTGTTTTCATTTCAAATTGAAAAGTCATTCTACATCGTTTGTCAAAAGTGATTGTCTAAGAAGGCAATAGCAATAGCGTTTGTCGTTGATAAACAAAACTATTAAATGGCCCTTGGATATTGGCGAAACAAATCATAGAAGTGCTAATTGGGTCTACTGATAATTTAAACATTAAATAAATGTTTATTTGAAAATTTGGGTAGCCAAACCCCATATTTTTAGTAAATTTCTAGATACGGAAACGTTCAAGGTTAATTACAAGAATTCTCCTTTGATCTCAAAAGGACACCATTCATCCATAATTACTTTTAGTCTAACAAGCCGTCATTAATATGATTTCCTTTGAAATATATTTTTGATTAAGTGCCTTGGCAGACGGTTGCCAAAAGGGCAGTGGCTAATTTTAGAATATTTCACAGGTTCTTGGAATTCAATGTGAATTGCCATATTTCAACTTCCGTTGATGGTTTGTTTACATGAACCTATAACAAAACAGAGGACAGTAATTGACTTTGTATACATTTTATAGAAATAAGGTGTGCAAGCAGACATTTCTCACTCCATAAACTTAATTTGCTAAAGGGAGGTGGCAAGCCCTACTGTACTCGGTTGATCGGCAATCACAGAATAAATTCAAAAGCTTGGCAAGTGCCATGGCCAGAACACTGTGGGTGGGCTTGCTGGTTACTATTTATTTAAATGTACAACTGTAAAAAGTGTGAAAATCGAAATGAACCCCAGCCCAAAAAAAAAATGAACTTAGTTTACTTTAAAATTTGTCAATAGAAAAGTGTTTTAAAAATGAAATCAACTATTTTTATAAAACAAATGTTCTAAATGCTTTATTTCAACCCATGTTCTTTTTGAAGAACAATTTTGAATTTGACTATTGATTGTTAAAACTACCGGACATTATTCAATCGAGCATACAGGGTGAGATGAGAAAACTGCAATCAACTCCAGACTGCTGTCATTTCTAAACCACTCGTCTGAAAGGTGTCAAAATTATTCCAGTGACAGCTCATTATATTGTTTACAAGCGAACAAAAGCATTTTGTTGAGAATTTTCCAGACAAAATGTTATTCGTGATGGAATTCAAGCGTGATAGTGCGATTTCTTTATATTTGGCTGGAAAACCTCAAGTGACTATCAATAGAGCGCTCCAGAAGCGACTTGATCGAAACCCGAAAAATGGCTCGGTAGCTATGGACAATGAGCTCAGGGTAAAGCTGTTGAAATTCCAAAAAGTGCAAGAACTTACACCGCAGCAGAATGCAGATAGACTCAAAAGAGCTAAAGAGTTACTTCGCTAGGCCGAAAGTGGTGAAGTGCCGCATTTGGTTTTCTCCGATGAGAAAATATACGTTGTCCGGCAGTTTGTAACCAAATAAACCACTAGAACTCAAGCGACGGGCATGGTGTGGGCCGTCATAACAGCCGATGCTCGCTCTCCGCTCGTATTAATCGACCGTGGCATCAGAATAAATGCCGAAAAATTATCGCGAAAATATTCTGGAGGGTTTATAAAGCCTTGGGCACGCAAACATTTTGGCCACAGACCTTGGACATTCCAACAGGACTCAGAACCAGCGCACTCAGCACGCGCCACCCAAGAATGGTTACAGATTGAGGTTCCTCGTTTCATTTCCAGCGCACAATGGCCACCAAAATCTCCGGATACCAATCCGTTGGACTGTTGTGTCTGGAGTATTTTGGAAAACAGGGTTGGCACTAAAGCGCTTCGCCAGGAATGGACCAAAATACCAAAGAACTACATTCGGGCAGCGTGTGACGGTTTCATTGGCCATTTGAAGGCCATAATTCGTGCCAAAGGTCGAATTGGTCGCCTTTGGTCACAAATCTAAATTTATTCTAAAATTTGATGCTATTTCCGACATTTTTTGCTTTCATTCAATAGAATTTAAAAAAAATGGTGTTCGTTGCAGTTTTTTTATCTCACTCTGTATATAGATAATATAAAACAGTGTTGGCATGTTTGTTCGAGATACCGCAGTATTTTGTTGTTTCAAAATAGTTAGGCTTAATCCCATTATTGTTGTTTTTACAAAAACAACGTTGGTTTATTACCAGGGGGTAGGGCATTGAATAACTAGATTTCGGAAAGAGGCACCAATCCTCATCAGTTCCCTGAAAGAGCCACCAATCCTCATCAGTTCCCTTGCCCATTTTTGTCTCTTGTATTCTCCCCAATTCAATATTTCAGCCCCAATTCAACATTGCAGCCTGTCCCCATGACAAAATTTTGTACCACTTAGTACAATTATAGTATGCATATCGAAAGCCTGCCCCTGACATCCATATCCAATTTCATGTTTGCAGTTCCCTTTCAGGATCTCTTAGCCCATTACTAATTTTAGGGCCAGTTAGTACTTTTCGTACAATTTATGTACATGTTTCCAAAAATTCCTCCATATCTCAATTCCAGAAACTAAAATATGGAGATTTCCGCTCTATCCCTTCGCCCAATTTAGTACCACTACGTAGAGTATGCATTTGTAAAACCACTTCCATATCTTAACAACAGAGACCTACAGTGACGTCTAGTAAAATTCAGATATATTCCTTCAGTCAATACAAAATTTTATACTATTTGGTACTTTTCGTACAATTATAGTATACATTTCAAAAGCCATCTCCATATC